TGTTTACACTGCAAGTAAGTTTGATCGCCTTTATCATTATTAACTTCCTGTATTCATACGTTGTTGTATGTTAACATAAGTTTGATTCTTCATTAGTTAAATGTTAAGCGATACCTTTGTGGTTTTGTTTTCGTTTCTAAANTGTTTACACTGCAAGTAAGTTTGATCGCCTTTATCATTATTAACTTCCTGTATTCATACGTTGTTGTATGTTAACATAAGTTTGATTCTTCATTAGTTAAATGTTAAGCGATACCTTTGTGGTTTTGTTTTCGTTTCTAAACGCCTGAATTAAGCACGGCAGTTAATACTTAGGTTGTAAGATTTTTTTTTTATATTGTTAGGAAAATATAATACCTAGACTATAAGGAATTGTTTTCGTTGTATATATTATGGCGAATCTGGCATTAAATCTCTTGAAGTTTATATACTAAAATGTCGTGGTAATTTGAATTATGATGTGGACGAAATGTAGGATAAGGTCATGGTGAGGTGAAATAAGAGATTAGTTGGGTTAATAGAATGAAGGAAATCTCTATTAACAGGTAGGGTGGGTAAAGGCAGAGGGAGAAATGCCATCTTCTCTCCCCTCCAGTTCCGAGTGGTTGTAGGGTATTTTTCTTTTTTGCGTTTTCTTGGACATTTTCCTTCTTAATTGATTTTGCTGCTTCATTTGGTTTCGTAGGCCGGTTTCTTTACGTTCAATTTCTCTCTATATCTGCATACTTATATATTTTTTTTTTGTAAGACTTTCGCTGTATGTACGGACGCAAGCCCACGCCCATTGCCCTGAGCTAAGCTGTAGCGTAGCAAGGTATGCAGAACTGCTGAAGTGCATGCACCTATTCTTTATCCTCTCATCTTTTAAGCAGCCCTTTTGGAGAAAGTCGTTACAGAAAAATAATGGCGCCCAACGTGGGGCGACGACGAGCTGCATATTTCATTTAATAAGCATAGTTTGTGAAAAAAAAAAAAAAAAAAGTATTAAACCTCTGAAATATAGTCATTCAACCAAAGACCACTCTCGTCAAAGCTCCAAATAATTGAATTTTTTTTTTCTAGCCTTTGTAAAAGAAGCTGGATTTATAGAATGCGGATAATTTCGGATTTCCACCGTACATTTTACTAAGCGCTAACCGATTTCACTTATACGACAGAATGCTAAGGAAGCAGGACTCTAGTTTTGGGGTTATCTCAATTACTTACCGCCGAATTAACATTCTGAAGCACATTTTTGTTTATATTTTTTTTCGCTGTTGTATTTGAAATAAGTGGAGTTGTGACAAATTGGTCCTATATCGATTGCATACCCTTGTTTTAAATGCAAAAATCTTCGACTTCTTTCTGGATACTTATTGTTGCAAACGTGACAGCGACATACCGGAAGAGTCGCAGAGATTCTAATAGTAATTTTTTTTGCGGCCAAATTTTTTTTCTTACAACAACCAGGAACATTGAATAGCCTTGTTTTTTTTTTGCCTTTGGTTATCCGCCATGACTTACCCCACAAAGTAGTCCACAAATCATTTTTGCGAAATTTTTGTTCTTCTTGAAAGCGAGTTTATTTCCGTTTGAGATAAGGCTGAAGCGACATAGATTTTTTGTTGGTGATTAGAATACAAGTTCTTATATTCTAATAGAGCTTTTACAAATTGTTTTTTTTTTGTTCGGTTAAGAATTTGGAATTTTCAAATTGATTTTTGTTGGAATAACAATGCCGATTACCCATAGCCCCAATAATGCCTCTGGGGGCGTAGAAACGGATAAAATGAATAACGGTACTTGTTCCATATGTAATGAAAGTGTACATTCGGATGGCGACAAGGTGGAGACAGCTTGCAAACATAAGTTTCACTTGAGTTGTATTCGTACTTGGTTAGATAAAAATCCGACTTGTCCAATTTGCCGTCAAGCATGCAGTCTAACTGACTTGAAACCGAATACTGAAGGTGTCGAACGAACGACTGGTGCGATCCCTCGTGACCGGCGAAATACCCGAAGATACGCTCAGGGAAACCCTCAACTTCGAAATACTTCAGGTAATCCCCAAACGACAGAACGAGCACAGAGTCCTAGCAATCAGCATAGGGCTCCTGCAACACAGGCATCCCATCCAAGTACGATATCGGAACGTAAAGTACAAGAAATAGTTGCTCAGGCGTTGGTAGATTTTCGCAATGAAATGACAAGCACTCTTCTGAGCGAAGTGAGATCTATGTTTCAAAGTATGCAGGTGGATCGTC